GTAACATTGAAAGCTCTTTTTCTATAGAAATCAATTTGCTTTCCACTAGTGGAGCTAAACATCTCTGAGATCAAGAAATGCCACAGTGAAACAAATGTTCCACTCCCACTAAATTCAGGCAGAAACCGGGGGCACAGGGCAGTTTGTCACCTTGTATCTGACATAGTTACGAAATCAAGACACTGGTCTACAAAATGTTTGCAAGCGTTTGGGATAATATGTACTTGTAAGCTCTCCAGTGAGCTGTCGTCTGCTCTTCACTAGGGAGGCAAAATTTGGTGCTCTAACCTGAGTGGGATTTTTAAAAATACTAGAACAATTCTGAAAGTTTTAAAAATAATTTTAGAAATCGGTTACTATATAAATAGAATACATTGATTCGCCTGTCCTGCTTTAAACGATTTAATATTTTACACATCTCACTGTATTCACACTGAGGCCATGTTTTAATTGTCGGAATGCAGGCAGTAATTAGACCAATTACTACTTGACCAGTTAATTATCTACTTAGTGAGCAGATACATAGTTGTAATTCTTGATCTAACTTCGCGCTTGTACTGTAGGTGCAACAATAGAATATGTGTGAATAACAGACAATTAGTTAAGCAGTTCTAATAATAGAACATTTTAATATGACTGGAATATTATTGGCCAACTATTCTATTATTATAAGTTAAATAATAAATACTATGAAACTATCTGTTTGGCTGCTGCAAACTATACCACTGGTATAATTGTGTTTGAAGATTTACTTAAAAAAAAACATCTCTATGTTGAGAAAACAATATTACTTTTTTATAGTTTCGTGTTTATAAAATAGTAGAATATTTCTGGTATAGTCTTCATTGAGAACAGTCACAGCAGTGCTGTATACTCTCCTAATCTGTATCGCTTTCATAAATAAACTGAACTGCATCTACCCTGTAGAGGGAGCTATAAACTAATTTGTTGGCGACAAACCTGGCCTGCAGCTGCAACAGTCAGGTGGGTACAGCTTATTTTTTTATAGTTCTGAGGCTGAAGGTATTCTTCAGCATTCAAGGACCTGAAAATTAACTAATCAAAAATGTTGACCTAACCCCTGTAATGCAAATATATCATGATTTGTAGAGAAATGTGAGTCCAGCATTCTAACACTATTTTTTACATTACCAATTTACAATGACTTCCTAAAAATCTGATTATTGCTACTTCATTAGCTTCCTGATTTTTCTTGTTTAGTTTATTGAACAATTGCAATGCTCTTAAGCTGTACCATAGTTAGCTAAAAAGCTCATTTACATTTGTTATCCCTGGGCAGGACACAACTAACAAAATACAAGGCACAACAAACTTATAAAAACAACAAAACATTTAATGATATATGGTATAATAAATAGAAAACATATATTACAAATTGTAAAATGCTCAAGAATAATTGCATGTTAAATTAATATATCAAAAGTTGCAAAAGGATCACTTTAGAAAACAATAACTTGTTTCCAGATTAACATGAACATTAATCCAGATTAATGACATGACCTATTTGTATACAGGTTATTTGCCTGATTGCCTGTTCAAGTGAATGTCAGGAATTATGCTCTCAGTTGTAAAAAGAAATCTGTTGAAGAAACTTCACTTCTGAGAACATCTATATATCAATTCTGATTTATGTTAATTCAAAATGTGGAGATTCCACTTTAGTCACTTAGTTTAAGATATACAACAGATATGAAGCACTGGAAAGTAACAAAGGTAGGCAAATGCAACATAATCCAAGTTTTATTTCATTTTATTTTCATATAGTGAAATGTTGGTGTGTTGTAGTTTTTCATTTCAAACTGATTAAATGCATGACGTAGTATTTGTGTAAATTAATTTCAGTTACAAGTATCAATTTTTTATCAGTAATTTGAGAAAATGTTGTATTTTGTACTCTTAAAAATTGCTTATGCATGAAAACAAATGAAAGTGAAAGGCTAGAGGTACATTTAGTTACGATGACAAATTAACAGTTACACTTATAAAATATATATATATATATGTTTCCCTTAAGAGCCAGTTAATTTACACATGTTTTCAAGTCCACTATTTTATACTTCTTTGTCAAACGTAATATGTGATAAAGCCAAGAATATTAAGGTTTTAGGGTAAGGGAAACATATGCCTTTTCCTCCCACAGGGTGGAGCACTGGGTCACCCGTTGTTTCAAATTTTGCTCAATTTCCTCAATTCAGTTTCAACATTCTGAGATAAACATGTACAGACCCAGCCGATATATTTTAAACAATAAAATAATTATCTGTTGTTTCTTCGGAATATATTTATATATAATGCGAATAAATTAATTTAAAATTACACATCTGCTTTTAAATATGTATAATGGTCAGATCAAAATGTTATTTTGTGTAATTAAGATAATGTAATTGTGCACTAGAGTAAATTAAAACTAAAGCAGTTAAGAAACCGTTTAAATATTTCCGTGAAATCTCTAACCAACCGCCTGTGAAGAAACATACTCAAATCCTGCCGACTACTTATGTTTCGGGGCTTCACTAAACCGGAAGCACGTGTTCAGAACAATACAACAAGATGAACTAGAAATTATCCCCATTACCTCGGTTAAATATGCAAAATTTGAGTCGGTAACAACAAAGTACTATTCACTGGTAACATTTTAGCACATGCGACTTTCGTGTGCGTCCTCGAAAAAGCTAAAAAGAAACAGTCTAAGAATACGCTACAGCACACCACGTGCTCCTGTTAAATTAGTTTCTAAGCTTTCGGCTATAACCATTTACAAACCGACAAGACTATAACGTGGACCTATTTTCTATACAGAGGTGCGTGTGTATACTTCTCCTGACATCTCCCAACAAAATGGGGTCTGTCAGACGCCGGGTTCCGCCATTTTGTGAAAGTGCCGGAGCGATAGGGGTACGTGTAATGGTTGAATACGGTGACCCCCTCTCGCAGATATGCGTCTGGCAGTTATGAAAAGGGATCGTGAGCAATTTTCGATTTTCCCAGCACAGACAGATCCTCCCCCAGCGTCCTCATGAAGTTAACGCAAGCATACTAAATACCTCCGTTACTGTCCTGTTGTTTTTTTTTCTGAAACAGCTTTCCAAGACTCGCTGAAATCCGGCTTCATGAGACCGTGGTTATTTTAAGGGATGTGCTTTACCGACATTACAAAAAAAAAATAAGACAACGTAGCCTTGTCTATAGCAAAATGCGAGGAAAGACGAAATATCACAAAGGGTGCTTGTGGTACACTTTAACCTGCCGTCGCTTGAACATGTACACTGCGTCTCTGTCCCCACGGCTGTAAGAAATGAAAACCCAACAGTACCAAGTCCAGCTCTGCTGCAGGCCGGCTGCGCAGGAGCAGCCTAGTCTGATCGCCCCCTTCCGTCACGAAGCTTGGTTGTTCTGTGAGGCAGTGCTGTGGTTAAGGGCCGTTCACGGCGGCAAGAAGGGCTATCAGGGAGATCCCTTGCCGAAAAGCACCACTTCGCAGATGTAAACACTGAATATGGGAAACTTCAGATTCGCCGTTTTAATCAAACGTATAGCTTCAGTGCTGTCAGTGCTGAGTTCATGGGAGATTTCCTATTATGTGCAGAATACGAATACTGATACTCTGTGTAGAACAACAACAATTCTGAATCCTACAGCAGCATAATAAACATTGCACACTTTGAAATGACATCTGACAGATGACAATAATGATATAGATGATGATGATAGAGTGCTGCTCTGCTTAAGTCATTGATTCACACAGTTCACACAAGATCTTCTCTGTGCTGCCTTGTTATAGCATTTATTTTTAGTTTTTGTCGAAATTTACGTGAGATTTAAAATGAACACTATTCAAAAATGAACTTAAGATAGCTTAGTAGTGGATAGTGGAGTTTAATATACGACTTTAATACCCTTTAAGTAATTCGCATTGATCACTTCAGAGTGTACATGATTTAACATCTGGACAATTGCGCTCCAGCTCCAGGGTGAAATTGTTATAACTGAGGTACAGTGACGTAAGACACCTTTCAAACTACTACTACTACTAATACTACTACTGTATTGCTCTGTCGAGGAATTTCGCGGGGGTGACATTAGGAACAGGAGCACTTTGGTTTGCCAATTTTAAGCTTATTAATTTGATCTGTCTTCAGCAATAAACAACGCACGCATTAGAAAATGACTGCACTGTAACAGTTTCGGAATATCCTGACCTTCTATTATTCACTGAAATAGTATGAATAAACTAATAATTCATAGAGCATTTATAAACTAGACAATCACCTAATATAACTATTATTAGTAGTATAATTCAATAATAGTGTTGCATATAGGCCATTAGTGTGAAACTTCGATCTCAATTGTATGAAAAAAATAAAATTTAACTAGACTTATTATTAAATAATAAAGTGTTTTTTTTGTAAAACATGATTCTCCTCATGCTTCTTTTAACAAGTCCCCCATGTCTTGATAAACATCTAGTAGTACAATTACCAAGAATAATTTATTTCAATTTTTCTGTTTAAGTGTATAGTTATTACAAGTTCGTTAGATGGTTACGCTACTTACAACTGAGCATTATTGTTATCAATTGAATTATCTATTTTCATGCACTTCATTTAATATTAATATGAACATTAAACAAGGACTCCTAATTTGCACTGGTTACAAGGTGTATTAGTATGTCACTGTTCAACTTCTATGCAGATAACCAGAAAATGAAAGCTGAGCAAAAACGAACAGATTTCAGTGAAATGTGTAATGTGGAGTCCGCAGAGTACTCAATATGTTATTTTTGGCTGATGCTGACTTAAGAATGTCGATTCAAGGTTTTTTTATAACTACCTGTAGCAAGTTTCATGGAGGAGAAAAAAAAAAGAAAGGCGTCCCATCCCCCACCAACATTTAACACGGCCTTCTGTTTTAACGGGTTTAGGAAGTTTCCGATGAGCCCTAAGCAGAAAACACTGTCTATTGTTCTGGTAACCGCTCAGGGTAGTGCAGTGCCGAGCTGGCTGCTAGAGGGCGCTGCGCGACGCTCGGAGCTCTCGGCCTCAGGATCTTTTTGTCTGAGAACTGGATCCCGCTGCCGCTTATACAGTGTGTGTGAGATTGCATGGAGCCGCGTCTGTAACACACTGTCAAACCACTCCAAAACGAACACAATAGCAACCAAAACAATTCATTTACTATACAGAACAATGTCAATTTTAGTTTGCCGTCAGAATCGGTCGTAATTCGGATTGCTTGGTGGAAGTTATAGTAGGCTAAATCGGGTCTTGTTTTCTCTGTGTGCATACACATTATTATCACTCTTCTCGCTCTTATTTCTTTAACTTTTTAAAACACTCAGCTTTCTCGTCAATGACTGAGCGCCGGCGGAGTATGGGATCCTTGGTATCTTAGGAAGCGAATGAGTGGGGTTTTAACTGTTTTTTAATATTTTTAAAATGGCAAATTCGACGGGGAAAAATCAACCTGATCAGCGAAGGAAAGGACTGGCTTTCCTGGACGAGCTGCGGCAGTTTCACCAAAGCAGAGGGTGAGAAGGGGGCGGCTTTTAAACCTAAAAATATAACTTTAAAAACACGTTTAACGACAAATAAACATAGCCGGGGGCTCGCGGAAAGGCAATCCTGTATTAATTTCACGCTTTTCCCTTGTAGCTCACCGTTTAAGAAGATCCCAATCGTGGGTGGGAAAGAGCTGGATCTTAATGCTCTGTACACCCGAGTCACTACTTTAGGTGGATTTGCTAAGGTGAGTGGAAGTTTATATTCGCATTTCCCACTCTCAGCTCACGATATAACTGCCCGGGTCCGCTAGGAAACTCGTGGAGAAGCGGCTGGGCTCCTGCAAGGTGTTTGGCTGGCTCTGAATCGGCGGTGGTAAAGACGGGTTTGACGATGGCCTTGCGCTGGTCCTGTGAGTGTAGTGCTGTGTTGTGTGTCTGTGCGAGAGTGCTGGGTTTGCATTGAGAGTCAGTCTCTCAGCTGCTCCGCTTGCTCGGAGTCTGAGTGCAGTTTTAGTGCAACTCAAAATTAGCGGGCATGTTTAACATCGATAATCGGCACAGAGCATGGGCTAGGAAATGCTCCTCGCCGCGGGGAACGGCTCTCCTGCCTCGATTTTAAGCAGAAAAATCACAAAGAAGCCAGCCATGAGCCATAGCCATCTTAGGCTTCATGGCTGAAAACAAAATGTAGGCCTCAGACAGGCCTATATTTATTGAATACCCATAGAAATGTAAAAACGTCCCAAAATCATGACAGACCGTTATTGGAGGTATCGATCGCATCAGAGCGGTCTCGAAGTGTCACCGAGAGTCTGGACCGCTTTTTAGTTGACATTTCAGAGTAACGGGGGGAGGGGGAGGTCCATTGTTTCATATGGGAAAATAATACAAAATTGTAAACAAAATACATTGGATAGCTTGCTGACAATTAATATTGTAACACTGCGGTGTTTGGATACTCAAAAGTTTTGTTATTGACGTTATTGTGGGGCTTTTAGATACTCAAAGCGTGCTTGTTGAAGTGAATTTAATTAAAACACTGACTTTTTATTGTAGGTTTCTGACAAGAATCAGTGGTCTGAACTTGTCGAGGACTTTAATTTTCCAAGGAGTTGCTCCAACGCTGCTTTTGTTTTAAAACAGTATTACCTTCGGTAAGTTCTTCTTTCTTGAAATATTCTGTGAAATGTAGCCTTATTTAAAACAGATGCATGCGGTGTATGTTTACAGGATTTGATTCCTGTTGGAGGGAATGACCAAGAGATAACCCGAGACTTTTGTGACCCTGTTTGTTTTAAGTTGACTGCCTTGGGAAGCCACGTGTGTATACAATATCCCATTTGAAGAAATGCCACATTTGAGAGATTTGGGATATCTGCTAGGCATTACATCTACAGATGCAACGTTGCTTAGCACTTGGGGCTCCTGTCATTTTCAGATTGCTTACATCTTGAACAAGTGCACTTATGTCTTGAACTCCTTAGAAGGTTTCACAAATATAGTCATGCATGAGTTATGTGGGTTCTGCAGCAGGAAAATTCTTCTTTAAATCTTGCTCACTTTTACATCTATGTTTTATTTTGCAAGTCCCCATTTTGAAGGACACAAGTTTTTTTTAACCAATTTTCACTGCTTTATCCGTTTATTTTGACAAACTAGGGCTTGATGGTGCTTTTATAGGACATGTGTCATAAAATGTAAAAGAAAACAATATAGAAACATTTTAACTCTTTATTTTGGGGGTGCACAGAAGACAAAACTTTGCTGGGTGAGAAGGCTACATTATTAGAGCTCAAGTGAATGTATCAGGAGTTGACTTACCCTACTGTGAAACAAGTGAAAGGTAGTTTTCATTTTCAATGAGTTTATTCTTTTTAGTATAAGATGCGTAAGCTCCTTGATTATCTTAGATTTCTGAAGCAGATATGTAAAAATATCAATGTAGGTCTTATATATGGCGTTAGTGTTGAGGTTTATGGCTTTTTTTCAGCTGCACTGTTTTGCTGTCAATTTTAGAGGTATTGGCTTATACGTGGTGTAGGTCATAAGGGGGACAATATATGTTTTGGGTTTTCTGCTATAGTCAACGAAGCAAGCACTAATATCTGTAAATGCAAGAATGTTAACCTTGACTTGTTGTGAAAAGGAGACTTGTGCCTTCATGAAACTAGCTTCTGTACAACATATGCAATACGAACTTGATAGTATGCAGACGAGCCCTATTGATTGGAGTTGTCCTTAAAACCCTGTTTCATTCCATCACTCACAGCCAGCCCCGGAGCTTTAGAGTGTGCTGCATATGTTGGCTCTGACAGATTTTCCCTCCAAAATGTCTTGCCTGCATTTCTCACCCAGCTTGTTCTGGGTTTAGTTGAGTTGCAGTGGCACAGAATGACCATGTGTTCCTGCGTTTGCACAGTGCTTGTAGTAAATACCAGTGCATAAGATTAACAGCCAGAACATTAGAAGTGGTGTTATGACTTATCCATGCACAGCTATCAAACAGCACTCGGTCGTGCCCACCGTTAATTTGTTGAAACACAGAGATGGCACATGTTAGTGGTTCTTCTGAATGTGAAATAAGATGCCTAAAAATGAATAAAAGCAGGAAAGTTCTAAACATGGGGATGAGTCTCTGCGAACAGTGAATTGCAGTAGTTTGTCTTTAAACCTTTGTGCTCCTTGATTTTTAGTAATTGTATTCAATCAAGAAGATGAAGTTTTTGATTTAAATTGCAGCATTTCAAACTGTTGTCACTGACAAGGCTGCTCAAGGATAATGACCTTCTCCTTGTGGAAACCTCTCTACCCTTCAGGCACATTTGTGTGTGCCCTTAGTGACCAAACTCAAAGAGTGGGGTTCACCAGTATGATGGCTAACCTCAGTTGACTTGAGCAGTAGAGACTGTCAGTCTCAGCGTAATGTGTTGGGGTTATCTTGTTTCTCACTGCACTCTGTAACCTGCCATTAGCAAGCTGTAGGTATGTAGCTTTTTATTTTATTAATCCAATTTCCAACAACAGGTCTTCTCCCATTTTGCACTTTTCTTGTAATTCTGTAAATAATGGCATAGATTAAAATAGATTTGCCACCATTTTTTGTGATTTTATACAGATTATCGGTTGCCTCAGAGGTCTGGTTTACACTTTTTAAAACTTCTTAGATTTTCAGTTAGATTATTTTGTGTAAGAATATATGATTTTTAGTTTTTAGTTATTTTAGTTATTAAAAAGAAATCCCATTTCCAGAAATCCATTTTATGTTTGTTGGATACAGTGTAATGTGTCCAGCCGCAACACATCAAAGACATGCATTTCTAATTAGATTAATTAAGTGATGTTTGAGAAAAGTCTGTCTTGGTTTGAGCTCCTTGTTGAGAAACCAAGAGACTATGCAGTTATTTACTACACTGTTCACGTTAGATATAAAGGACTATAAGAGATCAAATGTTCAAACCATTCCTGGTCTCTAGTCCATGCCAGGGTACTGTGAGATTAATAATGAGGTTAATAACAGTACACTTCACACTGTTTTGATTATATTTATGCATGAATGGCATAGACCCCCTTGCCTAAAATTCATTGGTGTTGTTTATGTGCCCCTTCAAGTCCTGTGGTAAACATTGGTGCTCTTGCAATTTTTCATCTAACCTAAGCTGGAGAAGTTAAACTGTGGGAGATCACAGCTACAAAATCACTGCCTGGTTTAACTTCATTGCTGTCTTCAGCACAAGCCAGAACATCTTGGGAGCTGTTTGCATTTGCAGTTACATCCATCATTAGACACTCTGAATTGCTGAAAGAAATGAAGAGCACAGTTTAAAATAAATTTGAAAAGCATCAAGTGTTTGAACAGGCCCTGTGTTCATACTGGTAAAATGTGCATTTAATGTGTATCAATATATGAAGATATGAAGCTAAGATGATAGGGTGTCTTTCAGAAAAATAATCATAATAATATGTGACTTATTTTTATGAACCTACCATGTATGGTTTATTTTCCATTCAGATCTGGCTAAAAATGTGATATTGGCTGAAATATTATAACTTTAATCTGTTTTTTGGAATGTATTTTACTCTTTCCCCTCCTCCTGGCCTGGTTACTATTTAATGCAGACTTTTTTGTGCTTTAGTTAGTTGCTTTAGTTGCTTTCATCCTCTATCACTTTAACTGGTATCAGTACAACAGGACATACTGGGAAGTCCTTTCTATCCTTTTTAAAATAATTCTAATTTTCTGAAGTCTTTTGGAGGCAATTATACCCGTGTGCTGCAAGCTTGATATCCAAGGAAGTTTGTGTTCAATTCAAGCATGTTACACTCTGATTCTCATTTGCAGTTCATTCTTGTGGAAAATTGAGTAATGATAAAATGCTTTTTCAAAGCTAGAATGTTTTTAAAGGTGTCCAATGACAGTAAATTTTGCCATTGATGTTAAATCAAATGTGTTAACCCACCATTACCAAAACTGCAGTATTAATACAATAGGAGTTTGGACCACTGACCTTACTAGAAAGCAGACTGGCAATACGTGATGGTTTGTGATCAGATCTTATGTGTGCCTACTTTGTACATTCTTAATCCTGCACCCAAGAGCCAAATTATCATAATCCTGCTACAGCTCAAATTGCATAGCAAAGGTTGTCCAATAATGGTTTGGTTTTAAATGGTTGATGTACTCATTTTGCATTTTAAAAAAGTTTAGGCAGCACCGGCCTTGTATTTCATGTTGTTACTTTAAAAGATGTACCTTTAATTTCTCATTTTTATACATTTTCAGTGTGTATGAACATATGTGAGTGTGTACAAAGTCAAACTATTTCCAACTGTGATAAAACAATTAAGATTTTAATCTGGCTGTGCTCTCCTGCCTCCTGGATTTGAATAGTTTTGCATGAGGCTGTCAGGCAGGTGCAGCATTTAAGGGTGGCATTCCGACTCTTTGTTTGCAGCACTTTGTTACTTGTGGCTTCTACTGTTACTGAAGCATTTCAGGCCGAACGAGTGCAGTGCCCGAGGAAGGAGCCGTTTCAAAGCTGTTTTTTTTACAATGAAACGTATCCTGCATGTTGCAGGTGTGTGTTAAGATTGTAAACAACAAAAACACGCAGAAATGTTTCAGGCTGAAATTCTTAAGAGAGTCACAGTTGAAGGCAGCTTAGACCTGTCTGACGTTCATTTTATTGGTTCTGAATAGGAATAAAAACGCACCAGAGTTTCCCTGAGTTTGCTGATGTGGTCATGCCAGTGATTTTAAATTCCCTGAATATGGGAAGCCTCATATATTTCTGAATAAACGATTTTGTGAAAGAGGAATGTACCTCTTTCACAAAAGTAAAGAGTCTACTGCTAAGCCTCGGAGCCCGATTAAGTGCTTTATCTTTAAAGATCACTTTTTATTGTAAAGGATCCCCATGAGTCATACCTCGGGCAACAGGCAAGAAAGTAGGAGTCCAGGTGCTTAATCGAACATTTCCAATTTAGTTACCAAAAGTACTAAATGGCAAGAAAAGCAATTTTGTTGTAGAGTCCAGAATGGCTCATGATTAATCAAAACTCTTGCTACTGTGAGAATGTTGGCGTGTTTGAATTTTTTACACATGAATATGCTGAGTGTGCCTTGTAGAGGTTATATTGTTAATGCAACTAATGTATCTTAGTTTGTTGTCATATAAGCATTAAAGACTATTTGCACTTCACAAAACAAGACAATTTAGCAGTTGTAGCAAATATAGCCATGATTCATATAAAACTTCAGTGAAGTGACAGCAATTGAATCGAAATCCACAAAACAAAAAAGCTGGCACTCGTTTTGTTTTAAAGGACATTTTTTTAATGTAGCGCTGTACAAAGTGTTCGCATCTGTAAATCAGACAAATTATTGCTGAAAGTGTCAATATTCATGCAAAACCCCCAGTCTATCAATGTGATTATTGAATAAGATTAGGCAGGAACTGCTGGCAGCACTTTTGCCCTTTAAACAGTATCTCCCACCAGCACCTCAGGCTAGTCTCAGTGTTGGTCCCACAGATTATGATGGTGCATCCAGCATTGGTGTAGCGGAAACTCATTTACCTGTGTCCAGTTTTCCAAAAACATTTAATAAAAACACACTTCCAAAAGCAGAGCAAATCTTACTGTATGCAGAGTCATT